CCCTGTTGTACGGCCGGCTTAGTGGTTTCCGGTTCAAGCGGGTTTCGGGTTTAGTAAGTTTAGCGTTGTTGCCTCAGCCTTCTGCGATTTGCGCGTGATCACGTCTGCAATATCATGGCAGAGCCGCTATAATGGCGTTATGGCCTGCTCCAAAGCTGAATCCCTTGTAGCAGAATCCCGTGTCGTACGTAGCTTCAAGCGAAAAGATGCAAAAACTCTGGATTTGGTGTACTTCACACAGACATGTGAGTGCAGGTACGGATTGAGGACTCGGGCGAGCATCTGCCAGGCCCGAATTTCACGCATGGATACACTCGCCAATGGATGTGCTGGTAGCCATGGGCGTTGTCATATTTTGGGCAGGTGCTAGTAGCTTGGACGTGGTCAACGCTCGGGCACCATGGACGTGCTGGCACTGCGAGCAGTTAAAACCGCGTAAGCTTCGCCGTCCTACACCATCGACTGTTTCTGTTGTCGGCTCATTGTATTGACACATGAGATCACATCAGTACGCTTCTACAAGATGTGGCTGTGTTCTCTTGTGGAAGAGACACGGCCGCCATTTTTGCTGGGTAGTATAGAATTAGCAGCGGTTGCAGCAGCAGCAGCAGCAGCAGTAGCAGTAGCATGCAGTAGAAGTAGCAGCAGTAGCAGTGGCAGTGGCAGTGGCAGTGGCAGTGGCAGTGGCAGTGGCAGCGGCAGCAGCAGGAACAGTGGCATTGGCAGTGGCAGCAGCAGGAACAGTGGCAGCGGCAGCGGCAGCGACAGCGGCAGTGGCAGCGGCAGCGGCAGTGGCAGCGGCAGCGGCAGTGGCAGCGGCAGGAGGAGGAGGAGGAGGAGGAGGAGGAGGAGGAGGAGGAGGAGGAGGAGCAGGCGTAGTTCTGTAGTATCATCGATCATTTAGTTGGGGCGTACCGTGACCCCACTGGATAGACCATAACTGCGCTGACTAGCAGGCAACACTTGAGCGGAGCAAACGGAGGCGATCGACCCAAACCGTACGGACTTCACAGTCTACATCCAGGGATGCAGTACAGCATGCAGTTCAACAACGTTGATCGTCAAGGAAAACTCTAGGCAGGCGACTGCTGACAGAAAAAGAGTAGCTTTGGCCGAGGATGCTTCCAATGCCCACTGGTAGCCCATGTGTGCGACAGAAACATGTGGAAGTGAGAGACCTGCAGGCAAGACTGTTTCAGTTTGGTCATTCTCTAGATCAGGGACCCTTGTGCTCACCAAGACAGCAAGTCACTCTTGCGACGAGGAACTCAAAAATTGACCGTACCTTCAAGTCCACCACTTTCCGGATTTGCAAGATGAGGTGATACCCATACACATCATTTGCTTGTCTTCCGACTTTTCTGATAGTCAATCTGATGCAGACACTGGCATCTCCTCTTGATATGGCCTTGCAGGATGCTGCTACTACTACCACTACCACTACCACTACCACTACCACTACCACTACCACTACCACTACCACTACCACTACCACTACCACTACCACTACCACTACCCCTACCACTACCACTACCACTACCCCTACCACTACCACTACCACTACCACTACCACTACCACTACCACTACCACTACCACTACCACTACCACTACTACTACTACTACTACTACTACTACTACTACTACTACTACTACTACTACTACTACTACTACTAACTGCTACTACTACTAACTACTACCACGACTGCTACTACTACTACTACTACTACTACTACTACTACTACTACTACTACTACTACTACTACTACTACTACTACTACTACTACGAGTACTACTACTACTACGAGTACTACTACTAGTACTACTACTACTACTACTACTACTACTACTACTACTACTACTACTACTACTACTACTACTACTGCTACCACTACTACCACTACTACTACTACTACTAATACTACTACTACTACTACTACTACTACTACTACTACTACGAGTACTTCTTCTGCTACTACTACTACTACTACCACTACTACTACTACTACTACTACTACTACTACTACTACTACTACTACTACTACTACTACTACTCCTGCTACTGCTACTGCTACTACTACTACTACTACTACTACTACTACTACTACTACTACTATTACTACTACTACCTGCTAGTGCAACTGCTGCTGCAACTGCTACTGCTTCTGCTACTACTGCTGCTGCTGCTACTACTGTTACTGCTACTATCACGACGCTGACGACGACGACGACGACTACTACTACTACTACTACCACTACTACTACTACTACTACTACTACTACTACTACTACTACTACTACTACTACTACTACTACAACCACTACGTCTACTGCTACTGCTGCTACGGCTACTGTTTTTGCTGCTGATACTAGTACCACGACGATGACGACTGCCTCTTCTTCTTCTACTTCAACTTCGATTTCTGCTGCTGCTTCTAACAATTCCTGCATACTGCTTCTACTCCCGCTGCTACTTCAAATAGTACTGTCACTGTCACTTTCACTCTTAGTATAGCTAATGTTTCCATACCGCTGCCATCACTATCATGAGCATGACCATGACCGTGACAATGACAACCAGAACCAGTATCACTATGACTATGACACCTTCACAGTGTGACACAGCGATTGCTTCGCCATGACACAGTGGCACAATGACTATGACTGCAGAAATCGTCATGCTTATTGTTGCTACAACATGTGGGTTGGAATAGCGCTACTGTCGCAAACGACCGCAGAACCCAAAAATCATACCACGGCGGAAGAGGCTTGTTGCGGCTGCTCGCAAGCCCTTACTGTCTCTACTGTCGTCGCTCTTGAAGTCCTCATTAAATTCTGCATTTCGAGCATGTAGTACTGTTCGAGCTCATCATTTGTTTTGTCGAAGGAAGGCTACTTAAACATATTAACAACAGCGGCCGTTGCTGCAGACTCCGATGTCCTGTCATTCATATTGGCTCCGTATAGTGGGCTATGAAGGCCTCAGTTCCCCTCGAGCTTTAAACCTTAAACCCTAAACTTGAAACCCTAACCGTAAACCTTAAACCCTAAAAAGCATCAGCTCAAAAAAGCCTAAACCCTGGCAGCCTGTTTTGAGCGAGTCCACAGACCGGCTTTCTCCTGAACAAGGCAGCTAAACAAGGGGCCTTAATCAGGGTGTCTGTAGAGTATTAGGATCCATAATAAGTAGAATAAGGTTCGCATCAAAGCGTTCCTGTAAAGGGTATCTATCAGGGTGTATAATATTTGGGGCCGTAATACTTCAAATAGGGTTTTGTGGCCCATTATCCTATAGTTCTAACAAGGAACTCTCAAGATACTATACGTAATTATTCAAGCCCCTATGCGGGTTTAGGGCTTATAGGGCGTGTTTTGTTTAGGGTTTAGGGCTTATAGGCTTTAGGGTTGAAGAACTAGGGCTTAGGTTTAGGGCTTAAGGCTCAGAGTTTAGGGTTTATAGGGCGTAGGGTGTTTTGTTTTTTTGGGGTTGGCTGTGCCACAACCTGGAACCTTCCGCCTCGCTGTCACGTGAAAGATACTCAGCATCGCTGGCTTGATGGGTTGGCAAACCCCCCAAACTGAGGGCCACGGCATACGGTAAATTCTTCGGGCCGCGGCATTTGTGGTTTGCAGTCCTTTTGAATTCTGGAGTTGCTACATTGATCTCTAGAAACCTCAGCTAGACCCTGAGCCCTAAACCTTCATGAACTGAAGTTTGGTCCGAAGGACTGGCCGGGTCGCCCCACTGACGGCTCAATACTTATTCCTGGGCCTTCTCTGAAGACCAACACAAAACTCATTACCCGGCCATACTGGGTTTTAGGATTACTCAAAGGATCATGGGACTTCGTAACCAAGGCTCCTGAAAAGGCTATTATAAGGGTTAATAAGGGTTCTATAAGAAGGGTTTTAGGAGTACTTAAAAGATCATGGGGCTTAGTAACTGGGAACAGTATTATGGTAACCATACCCGCTTATAACCCGATTAAGGTAATTATCAACCACACTTACTGAGTCCCATGATCCTCCAAGTACCTGGCCATATCACAAAATACAGTATATCATAATGCAACATACGTATACTATACGTAAGCACCCAACACCCCTATGCTTTACAACCCACCCCACTTTGACCGGGGGGATGCGTGGCTTAAAAGGGAGGGTATTTGGAAGCTGGCATTCAAGTTTTGTTGTAGTCATATACTGTCCCACGAAGGCCGGCTAGCTGATAGACGAGCTATAGTACGTCTTGGAGCAACATTCTGTTAATGTCAGGTTTGTGCCGCAAGATCTGAGTCGGACAGCAAGCGAACACAAACAAGTACCTGACAGCGCAATGCCAAGCCAGCACTCACACATACGTACACAGCAGTACAATACCGCTTCTCTTCTTGTCTCGGAGCAAGACTCCGCATACATGAGCAACCGCGAACCAAGCGGTAAGCAGCAACAAGTATCCAACATCGCAATGCAGCTTCCTTTCTTGTCTCGAAACAAGATCTCGCATAAATGAGCTGTCACGAACAAAGCGGCAAGCCGCAACAAGTACCCAACAACGCAATACCGATTCCCTTACCACGAGTACTTCGGGAGATCTCTCTCACATCTCACTCGCACAGGAACCTCCTAGAAACCAATTCCTTCTCCATAGGACTCTATCCTCTAGTCGCTGCTTCGACTAGTCTTGTTTTTGCACGGCACTTGCTGTGCGCTGCTGAGACGCGGAGTTGCAGCAAAGGCCTGCCGGCACGAGCAGCATTCAGAGGACGCTGGTGAGATACCAACACAAATTTCACCCGACAAGGTTGTTGTGTGTTCTCGCTGTGCGTGACTTTCGAGAATGTCCGGAAATGCACCGCTCTACCTCTACACCTGCTTGAATTTCCGTCCTGGCCTGATCAAGGGCATGAGATTTCTCAGACGAAAAGGCGTGCGTCGTGTTGGACGACTTTTGGGGAGGGGCTGCTGATTTCCCTTTTTGCGAGGCTGGCTTGGGACGGGCCTCCGCCTTCCTTTGTCGCATTGCCTCCCGCACTGCCCGGCCTTGCTTGAGGACCTGGAGCTGAGCTCGTTTTGGAGCAGATCCTGGCACTGTCAACTCCTTGCACCAAGCTCTCCACGCAGGGCGCGGGAGAATGACTTGGACGTTGGCCTTCAAGGCTCGTCTCGTCATCTCCGCTTGGCTCGCCTGCCTTTGCAGGGGCCTGTAGAGGGCCTGGTTATGAGTGAACACCTTGACAGATTGGAAGAAGTCAAGCTTCATAACCGAGGTAGCTTTGCGCAGGGCAGCCTCGAAATACACACGCAAGAGTCTCACAAGGGCACCTTGCGACAAAGGAACTTAGGACAGGTGCAACCAAGTTACCGTCTCCCGGATCCAGTGGTTGATCTCGTGATGCAGCCTCTCGTTGGATGTGGTTCCGCTGGGTAGAAATACGCCGTTCAAGACTCGGAACATCTCTGCCGATGGCGCATCAGAGGCAATATGAACAACTTGGGATCCGTAATCCGCGGGCAGACTGCTGGATAGAGTTTCGGCCACGACCGTTGCCTTCGATTCTCGGAACGGACCACTCTGATGAGAACAGCGGCGCCTGTACGGCCACGACAGGTTAGTGTGCGGTAACCCGTGCTGGCTTCAGGCATGGCTGTAGTTTCCCGACACGAGTGTGACGCATGGAAGTCCGCCTGTCCACTTATCTTCAGATTGATCTTGAAAGTAGCATCAGTACTGAGGTACCGGAACTCGTCGTGCGATCTGCAATCCTCCAGTAGACGCTGCCGGAACTTATGGAAGGGACGTGCCTGCTATCAGATCATGGAGAACATTCGTCCAAAAGTCGTTGGTCGCTCGAGGTATCACGGAAGAGAGCTGGCCGTCATGACGTGTGCAGGCTCCCAGAAATGCAGAATATAGTTTCTGAAGGGAACCATTTCCTGCAGCTGCCGCCTGCGGAAAAGCACATGCAAAATCATACGCGTAGTACAGATTGCCAACACGTCGCATGTCCTTCCTCGACTTGATGCAACGCAGCTACCGTTCGCATCTAGGCCGTACCTGACAGTCTTGTCGATGAGAACATTTTTTGTCGGCTCCAGAGGCTTCACGTCAGCCCTTATGACGGCCGCCAACCGTTTCAGAAAGCCTGCACTCATGGCTGTACAACGAGATTGCATCCTGGTCGTACAAAGCAATAGCTATTCGCAGCGGGTCTTGTCGAACCCAAGTTTGGTCAATCCACTAATTTTGCGCCTTCCTCGCCTGCCACGGCATTTTTTGAATTTCTGGGAGTTGGAAATACTCCAACGGGAAGCCTGAACCCTAAACCCAATCTGAAGGGTGCGAACCACCACCAGTTCGAGCCCAAGATGTGCTGAACAATGAGGTGGATTTCACTCAGGACCCTAAACCGCCTAAACCCTAAAGCCAAAACTCCACTCAATCCAAACCCTACACCCTCATGCCTAAATCTCCAACACCGGAAACCCGAACTCGTGAAGCCAGAGGGGCCTAGTAAGGGTTTAAGGACGATGGTTGTAGCAAAGAGCCATAAGGGATAATGTTGAGCTTCATTCTATGTAAACCTCCATAAACTGCCCAATGCCAATCCTCCCTTACTCACCGAATTACGAAGCTTGTGTTTACCACTATCCTAAACCCAAGGGCCCACATGTTGGCCCTTTTACCCTCAAGCCTTAAACCCTAAACCGCAAGACTAAACCCTTTTCTCCATTAGTCCCTAAACTGAACTCGCGGACTACAACCAAAGCACATGATGGGGGTTCCTTCATGTGAGTTTCTTATAACAGCTTTTTAATATGGTAGGTTTTGCAGAAACGTTGGGCATTAAGGTAGGGCAGGATTATGTCCTTCTCCGGCAGATCGATTGGGGATTGACGCCAGAGTCGACCCCACCCCTGTAGGGTCTCCTTCATTGAGATACCTGGCGCTTGTGCGGCTTACCCAAAGGGTCCTATGTACTGATATAGTAGAATGTAGGGTTTTCATATTAGGAATTACTATTATGACATAGGGAAGTATCCCCCAGAACAGTACATAGGACCCTTTGGGTTAGGGTTTCTGGACCTTAACCCTAAATCATGAACCCACAGGGTCTCCTGCATTAAGATACCTCGGACTTGGGCATATGGTTGAAGGGCTTATAATGACTTGAAGGAGTTTAAGGACCTGGGATTCTAGAAACATCTTACGAGTTCTTGCGATTTTACATGGGCAAGGACTTGGCTAGGGGACTTATTAGGATTGGGCTCAAGCTGCGGATGTTTTTAGTTTCGAGTCAAAAGCTTTCTGTTTCTGTAGTCGCCATTGTGGTTTCTTCTATTTTGGGGATACGATACCAGAGCCAGACATGAACCTAGTTTTCAAAAAACAGAAGGAACTACCATGGAGACATGTGAAAACTAAAGTTAGCTATTTAGAATCAAAAGTTGCCTCTCATGAGCTCCTTGCTGGTCACCGTCAGGATCTTGCTGACACGCACGCGTGGATAGGAGTCGGACTCGTCACTTGCACTGCCTGCCGCCCAGAGACACCACACAAGTCCACGTTAAGGGCTTCTTGCACTTCTGTTCGTCTTAAAGGGTGAGGCACGGCTGTCATCGTTCATCCCCTTGTCGGCATCGGATGTTCCCACGTCAGTGTCTCCGCTGCACTGCATCGCATCGTGGATCTCCAGGACTTCCACTCTGGCATTGGGCTTTGCCGCATCAACTGCTTCAATATCCTAGGTTCCCGAGGACCCCGTTGACAACAGGGGTACGGCTTTCCATACGATTTAGTTTCAATGAAGGAAGTCGACAAGAAAAACAACAAGAAAGGTACTGCTGGGGAACCTAGTATCCAACTGATGAGGAGTGCCTTGGTTGCAGCTGGGTCCCGCGCCCATGTTCTACAGCGGAGAATTTTCACTCAACACTGCAGCCGAGAAGCGGGCGTACTTGCTCGAGCCCAAAGCAATGGGCAGAATACAGCTCAAAATCAACAACTCTAGCTGTAGCCGAAAAGACCTACCTTGTTAAGGAACTATATATAGAAACCACAATAAAGAACCCCAAAAAGGCAGGTCTTGTCGGCTACAGGTAAACCCTAAAACCTAAACTCTTAGTCCCCAACTCCAGGCACTAAGCCCCATATCCTACACCGTGCGGACTTAACTCCGTCCCCAATCGAAAAGCACCTGGGCTCCTTGCCCAAAGGGTCCTGTGTACTGTTATGGGGGATACTTCCCTAAGTCATCATAGTAATTCCTTAAAATATGGAAACCCTACCTTCTACTATATCGGCACATAGGACCCCTTGGGAAAGCACCTGGGTTCTTTGTATAGCCGGCCTTTTGCGGAACTTACGGGGGGGGGCAGCGATGTAGGCTCCTGCGGTAGCCCTAACTCCAAGCACCTCTGCACCCTACCCCTATGGAAGAGTTCATATACCAGAGCGGGGTGAATCTATCCATAGAATAGTATAGTGCGTATGAGGTTTAAGGCTTAGGGTTTGGGCTCAGGGTTTAGGGCATTGGTGCTTGATGAAGCACCTCTCTCGGAACTTCCTTATACTTGCAGCAGGCATATACAGTGTACAGATACATCGGCCCTTACCCAAAGGGGTCCTATGTACTGACATAGTAGAATGTAGGGTTTCCATATTAGGAACTACTATTATGACTTAGGGAAGTATCCCGCATAACAGTACATAGGACCCTTTGGGTTAGGGTAAACCTCTCACAACCTACTCTGCTTATCTCCGGGTTCCAAATACTCGAAAGGAGAATCCTGCTCAGGGTGGTATAGGCTTCAACATGGGTGGTTGTCAAAATTAGGGTCCCTTTTTGGGTACCCGACATATTAGGTGCCGTATTATAATAAGGACCCCAAAAGGGACCATAACTTTGACAACCACCCACATAGCCTCGAAGGACTCTACATGGGTTTTAGAGGTGTTGTATACGGCTTTAGAACGGTTCCCGTTGGACGAGGTTTCTGAGTAGCCCCTTTGTTCTAAGGGTACCCGTTTGCTACTGTTCTGTTTTAATAAGGGGACCCTAAAACAGCAGGGGCCAAAACGTTGCTACTCAGTACTACTCAGGAGCCGAGTGGACCCCAAACCCGTAGATGCCTTATCCCAAAAGGGTCCTGTGCACCGATATAGCAGAATGTAGGGTTTCCATACTAGGAATTACCATTATGACTTAGGGAAGTATCCCCCCATAACAGTACATACGACCCTTTGGGTATAGAACCCCTTAAGGCACCCTTGAAAGGAGTCCCTTTAGGATGCTCCTCAGCAACCTAATAGACCCTCAACCCCTATATATCCCTATAGATCCTAAGGCCTACACCATAAGCCCTTGCAGTAGGTAACCTAGTAGAGGGAACTACTGCATGCGCAAATATGCAGGGGCTTGCAATTTAGCGGGGCTGAGGGTCATGATTTAGGGATCTAGGGATTTAGGGTGTAAGGTTCAGGATTTAGGGTTTAGGGTTTACGGATCTTTAGTTGTTCTGGTTTTAGGGTTTAAGGCTTCGAGGCTTATAGACCAGCGTGGGGCTGAGCGATACTCGGGGCGCAAGGAACGCCCTGGACATTCGAGACGGCATAAGTATGAGGCACCCGTCGGGTTTAGGGCCTAGGTTTAACCTTCAACTGCCCAAACCGACTTTTTTTGTGTGCATCATTTTCTGAACTCTCTTCGGCGATTTCGTGTGGTCTCCTTTGTAATTCCTTTTTGGACCACCAAAATCTCTATTTTGGGATCCTAACCATAAAACTGGCTAACTAAAAAGGAACTACAATGGAGACTATAGGTATAAGCCCTCCTGCGTCATTTAGGGTCCAGGTAGCATCGTCTGGATATTTGGGTCCCCCTGCTCAGCACCCTTTCGGGACTCGAGCCTGGACCGGGGCCAGACGTGGTGTGTCAGGCCAACTGGTTTAGAGTTTAGGGCTTAGGGTTTAGGGGTTTAGGGTTTAGGGTGTTGCGGCATTGTATATAGTCTTGCTTCAAGTCTGTTGCGCAGCTTAAGAATTCAGGCCTGCATCGCTGATCCAGACCGCTATGTCCGCTACGTGGTCTTCTAGACCCAAGAGTAACCTGGGAATAAAAAGGGTGCCCTTTTTGGTTTAAAGGGGGTTATAAGGGAACCTATAACCCTAAAAAGGGGAATAAGGGCAAACTCTGGGTGCTAGTCTTTCCTGATCGCAAGCACCCTGGATCTTGAGAAACTCTGATTCACGGTTGCTTTGAGTTCTCTTTAACCCGTAAGGGCTCGACTCCCGCTGCCTTCGTAAACTTGGCAAACCCAAATGGGGGTTTCCGAAAATAGGGGACCCTACCACAGTACCCTAGATAATAGGATCCTTATTATAAGGACCCCAAAATAAGGTACCCCTAACGTTCGGAAACTCCAAAATCCCACCAAGAGCTCCGAATCACAAGCGTGGCCTTAGCACTTCTTCAACTGCATGGCCACGGGAAATGAATGACTAGACTAGGGTCTTGAGGTATATCGTGATAGCATGATTACGCAGGGACCATGAGTAACGTAGTACATACGGACTATCAGGGGATGTTTTGTTAACCATTCAGGCCGTCATATTCGGATATCGGGGGTGCCACAACCCTAAACCCTTG